CAGCCAGCAGGATCACATCACCTACCTGAAATACTTTTGCCAAATTGTCAAAAAGAGCTTGACCAGCGCTGACTTTATGCTTGACTCCCCTGACTGTGCCGTTTTTGCTGAGGATGTTGACTCGCTTTGTACCAAACCCCCTCTCTTTAGTGGCTCTGACTAAAATGAGCAAGTCATCCTGCTCATTCTCGTTTTCTTCGCACTCGGAGCCTATGTGTCCATTCTGCTGCCCATCCACTTCACTCAACCGGCCTCCCCGTCGGCGTACACCTCCTTCAGCACCCTCCCGCTGTGCGAGGACGCGACGCGGAACCGAACCTTCCTCGACAGCCTCTCACTGTCCGCCTTCATCTCACTTTTAAACATCACCTCTTCCATTGATATAAGCAGTTTGCATTGTTCCAGCGTGGTGCCCATTGCATCTGCCAGTTTGTCACACTTGACAACAATATCAGCGCTGTTTTCTGTTGACAGGGGTTCTCATATTAAACTAAAGAGGGTTCCCAAGAAGCTACACTGCCGTTCTGCAGTTAATAATGGATGCGTTTGTGCTATGGTTACCTTTAAACTAAAACCTGTAAAACGATCCCATCCATCAAATATTAAAAAGCTATTGTGTACTTTTTAGCACTAAGGAAGAAAGCAAGAAAGGTAGAAAATATATTCACTGAGTAAAATAAAAATTCAAACCCACACATGATAAACAGAATAACAGAAATTACAGAAGTTTATATGAATGCAGATTTTGTTTGCTAAGAAAGGCAAAAATGAAGAGGTTTTTACAAGATCTGCAGAGTCAAAGCTGTTTATGTTCATTACACCTGTGGTGAAAATTGTGACCTTCAGCATTGGATTCAATGATGGGCACACTTCTTTCACCAAAACCCTTCCTTCCCCTACCAGTCAGACCTCATTCACCAAAGTTTGCTTTTTATATAAGCTTACAGAGCTCTGACTTGGTGTTTTGTGATACTGGCCTTTACACAGACTGGCAGAGCAGCGGAGAGCAATTAGTCACAATTTGTTGCACAGCATTACACAGTGTTATTAAATAAAATCGAGCCACAGCTCGTACCACACAGTAACCACAGCCTTCATTCTGTTTTGTCAATTATTCAAGGGACTGGGCGAAGGGAATCTAAACAAAGTGGCAGGAGAAAGCTAATTAACTGGGGCAACAAGGATCAAACAAAGAAAAGTAGACTAAGGTGGATTCAACCGCAGGGGAAGCAAATTCCCCTATCCCAACAAATCGCAAGTAGAGGGTGGTGCAACATTAAGCGCTCGGTTCTAGATGCAAAAATAACAAACCCCCACTTGCGGTTTCTGGCTATGCCTATTCAATATCACGTAGCAGCACCTTAGACCCCAAAGCTGGTTCTGAGTTTGCATGATGATCCTTACTTACAGTGCTATTTCTGTATTTTCTCCATTTAAAGTAAAATGCAAAGCATCCCTTAGAGCAGCATGGAGAACTCCATCCCCTTCCCACTTGCCTGGTAAACATTTCCTACACACTCTCTACAGCTTCATTTTCTCTCCAGACTCACGAATGCTGAATTGCTTCCTGAAGCCTGTGACCCCCCTCGACAGGTGTAGGCATGAAACCAGTCCCTAGATGTTCAGCCAACCCAGAATGGTAATGCCTGTGGTCACGAGCAGCTGCAGAGCTTCAAGCATCTGAGGAGGCTTTGTAGCCAAGATTTTGGAAATGCAGAGAAAAAAAGTTGTCATTACAGAGATCTCTCCTGGGCAGAGAAACACGCTGTAAAAAAACCCACTTGGAAAGAAGATATTGCATCCATTGCTGTGTCTTTGACTCTGTCTCATCCCACAAGGAACTGGACCAACCCATTACCTTGATGCTGTGCTAAATAGTATGGTTTCCAGTACAATCCTCACATTTTATCATGTTCAAATTTATCGCTAAGTTGAAAGGAACAAAGGTGATGCTCCTGATAGTTGTTGCCTTCTGCTGCTTCTTCTTGGCACAGAGCCAAGATAACAGCACTGGAGGAAGCCCAGGGAACCAAGGCTGCACAGTGCAGCCTGAAAGACAAACATCTGCCCCACGATAGACGTCCGAGAATCTTCCACCACTCCATGCAAGAAGGTGCCTGCAGAGGGCAATTCATCACAGCTTTCTTCCATGACAGAAAAAGTAGAGAAAGTCTAACTAATAAGCTTAGTCTGAATATTTACCTTTTAAACAACTGAAACTAGGTCAGGTAAGCCAAACTCTTTAATACATTTAAGATGAAAGTTTTGAGCTAAGTTAAGGTAGCAATCACATTGTGTCAAGTGAGGCCTTTATAGCTCTGTCAGGAAGGAAAAAAAAGAAAAAAAGAGAGGAAGAGAGCAGAAGGAAATTGTAGTCTCATTTATAACCCTGACACAATTTCTTTAATACATCAGTGAGATCTAGCTGTCAGAGTTCATCATATATATATAAATATATATACTTCAATTTCAGTAGCTTATACAAGTAGACAATCTGTCCTACGCATTCCATTTCTCTAAGTTTGGAGAACAACCAGCTTCACCTCCCAAAAGGATCACAAATCAATAACATTAAACTGTAGCAAAATGCTTGTAAGAGTATCTAGCCATCTGTATTAAGCAGCAAAGACTGTTTGCGTTTTGCTGAAGAAATGTATAGTGTGCTATCTGAAGCTACTGTAAAAATGGACCTCGTGAAATTCCCATCGATCGGAGAATTAAAAGTATAAAGAACAATTAGAACCAGTAGTATTAAAATAGCAGCAAAATGAAACCCAAGTCATGAAAATGAGACTTTTGGAAGAAAACATAAGTTCAAAAAAGAAATAAATTAGGTTGAATTCAACAAATGCCTTCTTCATTTCTGAACATGTGATCATTTTCCCAGAGCAGTTCACCCTATGACAAAGCGCTATACTCTCTGGTTTGATGCGTAGTGAAAGCGGGGCCAGTTTGCCTCATGTATTTGCAGGTTACTAAGTATATATAGCAAAGCTGTAGGCTGATTTGATGCCATTCACAGTGGTGTCGTTCATCATTAGGCAGATGGCATGAATTCACAGGGACATGTCTTATGATACTAATTTTTCTTCACTCTACAAAGTCTGCAACCACCTCTAATTTTATTACACCAGTAGTAATCAAAAGCATATTCCTGTAATCTCTAATTGTTAATTCAAAACTAGCAGAGCAATTATCAGGACCCCGTTATTCAAGAGCCCTAGATTTTTTTTTCCATCTGTTGTTGGGAATTTTGGTTTATAAAAGCACATGTGGGAAGTTGAGTGTGTTACTTCTGTTACAAGTAAGTGAAGTTTGTGACTAGCACACTCTATGCTCTAGAGATTACCAAAATAGATGATTCGAACGGTGAATGCTAAACATTTTTCTAGCTGAGACAGATTTAGTGCATTTCCCACTTGCTCAGAGAAGGAGCATTCCCATTTGCTAAGTTGGCAAAACATCTGTCTGCTTTCCTGCCGGTCCAGAATAACATTTTAACTGTAGTAAAGTTCAGGAGGACGCGCAGAGCATGTTCCAGTACCCATCAGGGAACCCTTGCATCTGGCAGTTGTTTGTCAGGCCCAGCAGCTGCTGAACAGAAATACTGCAGATGAGAACAGACCAAGCATGCTGTTGCTATTATAATATCTGATTATTCATATGACAAGTGCTTTACACTGCCATTTAATTCTACTTGCAGATTTCATTTAACTTCTGCTAAGCAATTATTAGACAGAATGGCAGGGTTTCTGTGCCTATATTCCTGTTTACATTAGTGAGTTGGGTACATTCCTTCTTCAATTTATATTGTGAAGAAGTTAAACGAGTGAGGAAATGAACACATGCATCTAGGCCATGCAGCAAGTGCACAGGGAGGTAAGAGGACCTACAGGACCTTTCTGCTACCCTTTTTGCTGGGGGTAGCATAAAGTCTCCATTTCCAACCTCTTTAGGGAAAAATATTCTACATTGTATCTGGAAAGGGAGTCAACGACTATCTTTAACTTGAAATTCGCTGCCATTTCAGCACAGTTCTTTCTGCTTTTTCCATGGTAGATTTCTACAGGAAGGAGGCTGCTGAGCTAAACACAGAAGCAGTGGTTCATGAAGAGCTCCTGTCTTTATCAGGTAGTTCAGCTTCTGTGGAAAACCTCTTTTGTTTACTTACTCTGAACAAACTAAAAGGCCAGCTCTTAAACGTGTTAAATACCTGAGTTATACAAGGCACAGACCAGTTTTCCTTCTTCAGGAGAGCCTGTCAAATACTTCTAGCCTACGGACTACAGTAGTAAGAGTAGTGGCTGGGGCCTTTGATCCATGTCATATGGCTGATAACAGGCATGATTGTTTATTTCCTCTCTCACACAGCCAGTCTCAAAATTCATTGTCATAGCTCCATTTTTTCTAGTCATGTAAGTGGTCATCATAGGATGTCTGTAACTGTTAGCTGTCCCTCCAGAAGCATTAGCCTGTAGCTCGCCACCAAAATTTTTGGTGGCCACAACTTTTGTAGCCTAGGATAGGATTTAATTTATATGCTGATCTTCATTAAGATCTTTGGTGTATTTTCTCCCGTGTTCTAGTTGGACAGGTAAAAATAAGGAGAGAAAAAAATATTTCCATTACAGCAGCAATTTGTAGAGGAAAGAACAACTCTGGTATGAAAAAAAAATTATTTTATAGCTATGATGCACCACAAAAAAAAAAATCTCCAATTCAACAGAGAACAAAAAAGCATGTCGTAAGAGGTAATTGCTCAGCCAGACTGTTCTGTCTAGACAAACTGGCTAGATATGAACTGGCTAGGTATGAAGCTAGACATTAAGTTCTGTCTACCCAAGTAAACCATGGTGAATTGTGAACCTACCAGTTTGTGGGGCCACATATGCAGTCCAGACATGTCCTGCTCAGTGTAGGATTAGAACAGAGTGTGCACGTCTCCTCCAAGCTGCTTCCCAAATGAGCATAACAAGCGAAGGGAAGGAGGTCTGGATGCCAGAATCTAGCACAGAACACAGCTGAGTGTCACTGTCAAGTAAAGGGTTGCTGGGCTGTGGAGCAACCACAAGAACACATGACAAAAAGGTTGTTTTCTGTCTGGTTATTCCACAGTGGCTCTGCTTGAGCCCATCTCAGATTGATTTTACTGCCATTGATACTGGAAACTATAGGTAATACTGTGTTGCAAAAAAAAAAAAAAACCACCAGTGATTAGAAGACATTAATGTTAGAGCAAAATATTTGTACACATTTCTTCTAAGTTCTGGTTAGGCTTTCTAAATGTGAAAATGTGCTTCCATCTTTTTTTGGTGTGGTTTATAACACCTTTGTTAGAAATCTGACCTAAAATATGACAGTCCTTT